CCATGGCAAGGGGATTCCTTCGAGATTCCTCGGCACAATGACACGCAAACAAGGGATCCACAATTCAGAGGCACCACCATGCGTGGGAGCAAAATGGGATGCTTGAGATCTTAGGCACCCTGATGGGATTCTATGGGCACATAGGGACTACGACGCAGGGGTTGAGAAAGGCTCCCACTGGGGATCCTGGCTTGGGGTGCAGGATCTACGGCTCAGGAATGCTTGTTTTCTCGGTCAACCTGAGGTTTGCCGTTGCCCAGCTTGCCTTCATATAGTTCTTTCCGACTACTAGCCAACACTTCCCACTTGAAGCTTACTCTTCAACTGTATCTGGGAGCTGCAACTTCTGACCCTAAGGAAGTAGCAGGACGTTCAGCCTTAAGGCTCTAAGCGCCTTTTGCTGCATGTTTTTTTTTCTGGCAAGGGACCTTGGCGCCGCTTTCCGAGAACTCCCGACCATGCATAAAGACCTGGCAATCCGAGATGCTAGTTCCGAAAGCTAAGGGCTTTCGATTACCAGGTCCTGAAAAAAGTGGGCCCGGGGGAATACTCGGAGGAAGTATGGTGTAAGGGGTGGGGCGGGGGGGGATGCTAGATAACTACCACGCTTGAATCGAAAGCCATTCAGAACATTGTACCCAAAGATGTACCTAAGATAGGGGAGTTCCTTACATGAAAAGACCCCTCACTTTGAGAATGCCAACGCCTCATGAGACTACATGCGTATATATATATATATGATATATAACATAATGTATAAGAAATTCTATATATATATATGTATATATATATATATATACCTGCTCAAACCATGATCTCACGTGACTATGGCGAGCTTTGCGACGGGAAAAACTCAAGGGTTGAGAGCCCCCAGAGCCATCAGAGCTACAAACTGCCTTGCTGCCTAAAAATTGAAAACCAGCTACCACTATGCATAAGGAAATCAGCTACGATTCAGCATTTGTAGACACAGATATAGACATGCATGGCACAGTCACATTATGGGAACTCCTCAGACAACAAACCAGGAAAGCCTAGGTGATGGCATGGACTGCCAACAGTAAGTACCAGCAACAGGACTTGAAGGAAGTTGAAAGAGCAGTAACACCAATGCTTTTGGTGCCCCCTAACGACTACACCGTAGCGAAGCCGTGACCAATGTCCCCCAAACCCCACAACCCAAGGTGTTGACAACCAGGATTTGGTCGATGAACTGGCCCTCGAAGAAATGCATTTCAGGATTGTGGGGTTTAGGGCTTGGGGTTTAGGGTTCGGGGTGGGATATGCCCAAAAAGGGGCTACATGGGGGGGCCGAGGGGTCGACAGGGGATCAGAAGGGGATCATGGGGGTCTCTAGTGATGTCGCACGCGCTTTTGTTTAGGGGCTCGGAATATAAAGATGTTTTCAGTGCTTATCCAGAATCTGGAATTGTCTGTGGGGGTTCTCAATAATATCTTTGAGGGCCCAAAATAATCAAATTGCAGATTCTGAGGTCTAATTTTGCTTATATTAGAGCCAGATACTAGCAAAGCTAGGAGTTCGTGAAAGCCAGATACTATCATAGCTATGAATCCGTGAATTCCCTCAAGCCCGTGAAATCCGTAAAGGCAGAGAAGCCAGCTCCATATAAACCACTTTTTCGGGATTGTTGAAAATCATAGGGCCCACCAATTTCTTTGGGGGAATGTCCAGCAGAGCCGATCCTCAATAAGGAAATGTTTTGGTGTTCGGACTAGTAATTCACTCCGCCAGCCGCCTAGAACTTCCGGAAAATTTAAAAGATGTATATATATATATATCTATTTAAAAGGCCCAGAGCTTTCAGCTATAAAGCCAGATACTAGCAAAGCTATGAGTTCGTGAAAGCCCGATACTAGCAGAGCTATGAAGCCGTGAAATGTTAATTCAACTTCTCTAGATTTCAAAGGCCCAAGGCCTCAAAGAATCAAGGATTTCAATCACATTTAGCTTATTGAGATTTCAAAGGCCCAAGGCCTCAAAAAATGAAGGATTTCAATTAAATCTAACTCCTCTAGTTTTCAAAGGCCCAAGGCCTCAAAGAATCAAGGATTTCAATTACATTTAACTTATCTAGACATCAAAGGAACAAGGCTTCAAAGAATGGAGGATTTCAATTACATTTATTTGAATCTTAAAGGCCCAAGGCTTCAAAGAATGAAGGATGTTAATAAAATTCATGTCAGCTTATCAGGCCCGAGGCCTGAAATAACAAAGGATTTTAATCAAATTTACTTAGCTGTTCAAGGCCCACAGCCTTTCGCTACAAGGCCAAATACTAGCAAATGAAAGCCGCGAAATCTGGTTTCAATAGTTAATAAGAGGTTTCCAATGGGTGTAATAGGGTTTTAATTAGATTTGAATACGAACACTAATATGAAACAGAATACCAGCTTCAAGGCTACTACGGAGATTCATGTTTTTTTATCGATCTTAGTTGCGCGGCAAATTTGGGGGGGCGGCTGCGATTAAAGGGAATCGTCAATTGTTCGGGGGAGGGGGGGGGGGCATACTAAAGGGGGTGCCACATTTCTCGGTGATTCAACAGCACCATACAGTGCCATACAGAACAAGGGCTGCCCCATCACTTACATTGGCTCAGGCTCTGGCATGAGGGCTGTTTGTGCATCAGACTCCTGACGAAATCAGTTACCATGCAACTCAAGCTGTTGAGGCTTTCAGAAGTGGTGTTCTTCTTCCCATCTCTCCCCCCTCGATGCAATGAATATGCTACCCTTCTGCTAGGCATCCATGCAGCACTCCATCATGCTTTCATCTTCACATGTTGCCCCAAATGAAGATCTTCATGGGAATATCACACTGCATTAACCGGATCCTGCTGAAACTCGACAAAGCCGAAGCCCCGAGATCGGCCATCCGCGTTGCGCACAACGAGAACCTGGCATCAGCATGGCAAGCCGTTTCAAACAGAAAGGCAGAGAACCCGGGCACTCGTGCTGTCGGGTGTCACTGTCCTTTCGAATCAACGGCCTGATCTCATTTTGCGACCGCAGACTGTGCCACTGCACCAAGCGGATGGTGTGTATTGGCATGCTGATATGTTGACGCTGGCCCCACTTGATTGTCCGAATATGGGTGCAATTGCTGTGCCATGCATTTCTTCAAGGTGGATGTCTCCCCTGCCAGGCGCCAACGCTCAAGACCGTCGTGAGACGTCTATGGGGCCAATCAACCTAGCGCCTAGCGGTGAGACAGGAATGGCCTCCGCCTTCTTGTGAGCAACGGCTACCTGGCTTTGACCAGCCCCAATACAGTGCTGAAATACGCAGCATGCAGCATCACATCTGCACGGTCTGGGGACCTGCGAAGGCAGATCCTGACTCGTGCAGTGTGTACATGCTTGCATGCCAGGCAGCTGAATCCCATCTCAGAAGGCTGCCACCCGGTGACCGCACAATGGTAGCTTCTAAATGTGATTGCATGCGTCTTTCGCGTCATGGACGATCCTACGGCATGGTTCTTTGGGCCTGAGGGTGTCACCTGCGAAGTGAAACTACAATGCGGCCGCGTCCACTCCTGCAAGGTTGTGAAGACTGCGGCAGGTGCTGTGAGCGTCACCCAGGATTCGCCCAACAAATTCTGCGATATGACTTCAAGGCGGAGCGAGCCGTTGGGTTGCGAGACGAGTCCGGGAGACGCTTTGACTTGTTATATCTTGCTATCTTACCCGTCGCCGGCACCTCTCAGCGCCAGGGCACCGGTCAGACCCACTCACGGGCGAAAATGAAAAAGCACCATTAACGCGATTCTAGCCTAACGCATCACTTGGAAAAGGAAGAATCAAGGAGCTCAAGTTGCCTCCTTGCCTCAGTCCGGGCACAGCGCGTGCTGCCCGGGAAGCAGTGAAGCATCACTGCATTGGGTTCTCGTGCGGAGGGCCCTCAGAGGTGTCCATCATCTCGAGGCCCCTGTCAGGAGAACCATCTCGACATACTCTCAAAGTCTACATAAGCCAAGAACTGAAAAGATCCACTCAAAATTCTGCCGCATGCTGCACGGACCAGCACGTAAACTTGTTGGGGGTGGTCAAAACTTTGTGCAGATGCGGCCTGGTGATCATCACTACATTAGCCCAAGGCATGAACGGGCTTCAGATGTGCAAAGGTCAACAGCCGCGTGTTGTTACTTGGGCAGGCTTTGTAAGCAAGTCCATCGCATCAGACCAAGGCTAGATGGAGGCCTTCCCGCTTCCCCTCATTCATCCACGATGCTTCCCATGAACATACAGGACCCAGCTGGCTGGCCCAGTCAGGTCATGCAGAAAAACTTCCCGCTTCCTGTCAAGATGCCTAAAAGGGAGGTGTGGCTCTTAGGCCTAGGCATATGCCCATCATAATAATAGTAGGAATGTTAATAGTCGTGTTAAAGTAACAATAATAAGAAAAACAATAATAGTAATTATAACTGTAACAATAACAGTAATACATAAGAATAATCGTAATAATAATCGTAGTACTAATGATACCTCAGTGTAGCAATTATAGCCTATACCAGACATCCACATCGAAATCCCAAGTCTCAAAGGACGACTCGGCCTCTTCTGGCCATGCGGTTCGGCCTGGTAGGCCTGCGAAAGATCTCGCAGACTACTGTGCTACGATGAATTATCATTAATTAGTAGCAGCTCTATTAGTATAAGTATCTTCTTAGTTTAGTACTAGTAGCATTGACAAAATCTCTAGCCTTATTATTGCTCTTGGGTATTCTGATGCATCTCAATTGCTTGACCAATGGCCCGGCCCTTCCCCCAAGGCTGCTGGCCTGAAGCATGCCGCTGTTCACCTGAAGCTGAACCTCGGCCCGCACGAAAGCTCAAATGCATGAGCGGACTTCCAGAAAGATCAGGTCAGGACATACTGCTTGCACGGACGCGAGATCCCTTCTTGCGCGGCCGCGTTTTGCATCCCCATGAAAGCGAGTTGAGTGAGGCCTCAACCTCCATGCCTGCTGAGCCCCCGACCCTGTGAAGCATCTCGTACTCCCTTAGCTCGTCGAAGTGAAGAAGGAACAGGGCTTGGGGCCCTGTGAGGTTACCTTCTTGCATATATTCTTAAGCTGACCTTACTTCCACTGTGCGAATTTGGGACCGCAATGGGCCACAGGTACCTCCATTCAAAGCATGGCGTCTGCACGGCAGGTTTCTTGAATGGCATTCAGGCTATATCATGGTTATGGAAACTATGGGCAACCATGGGCTGAGAGGTCAATCATAAGACCAACGGGTCCTAGGCGCGCAGAAGTATTACTTGCTCATTTCGCCCAGCCGCCGGATTTGATTCCGGAAGCCCTCATTGATGGAGATGCAATGACGCCGTGTGAGCACATAAGTGTGTGCCTGTCACAAACCACACCCCACGGCTGAAGTTGACACATGCTGACGCGAGCAAGGGCCACGGAAAAAGGCCGCAAAGCGGCAAAATCCAAAATCTTGCAAGATGGCCATGACATGCGCAACTTGAAGAGTTGCAATCACCAGAACGACTTCAAAGCTGATGCCCGCACCTGGTCTGATGGAAGGTTGAACTTTTCCATCACATACCTGGCTTCGAAGGCCAAACGCTGGCCAATTTGGAGAGGTGTAGAGAGTACAAGTCTATTTGTCGCGAGAATCTTCAGGGGCTCTTACGCTTGACTGCAAGGCACAGAAAGGCACTTGAGGAAATGCGCAAGGTTGTTCGCCATTAGGGTCCCAGACCCGTGGACATCCTGTTGTGCCAATACTAGAACCAAGCGTCTTCTTATACTGTCAAACACAAATGGCAGCAATGGAGCTCCCTGCAACTCTTGCATCAAAATGCCAAGCAAAACAACCTAAAAGGTTGACTGTGATTCATCGTACCTCTGAAACAAATTATTATCCAAAGAGCAACAATTAAGGGTTGATTGCTGGACGATTTGGGATTTTGTGCAGTGCGTCAGCTACCGCCAAAATTCCCCCTGTGATTGATGGACATGGAACCCCTTTTGGGCAAAATACTCGGGAAAATACTAAACTACCAACGAACTCCAATGTCCACCCTTTATGGTTCCTTCGCAACCCTAACACTGACAGTAGCCCATGCTGCGCATTGGATCCAGCGACTTTGCTTCAACCTGACGACCCTAGAGCTTCAGGGCAACACATAATGAGAATGGACGGGGCTTCCTCGCTTTGCCTACGGCTGGCTGTGGGCCGGGGTTTCTGGTTTCTGTGATGGAGGACACCTCCCCCAGAAAGCCGTCCCCTCTGCTTACAGACGAGCGGCGCAACCACAAGCGCTGCTGACCGTGACATGCCTCGCAGGATCTCATTCTAATGTCCCACAAGCTTGGGTTGAGTTAGCCACCTCATCACGGTGTGCGCACACAGTATGTGCTCTCTCAGCGCAAATCAAGGGCAGGGGACAAGAGGGTTGACTCTGCTGTACTTGCAGCTTCAACCTGGACTTGACTTGTTGATTTGGAAATGGTGCTGTGAATTTGTAGGCGGGGGGGGGGCCGGGGGGGCGAAGGGCTCACAAACATCTCAGACTGAAAATTGCGCAACGCGACAGCACAATCGAATCAGATGCCGGTCCGGTGCTTTGAAAGTCTTCTTGTGGTGTCAAGATTAAGACTAAATAGTTAACGACACTTGCAGGGCCTGCATTTCCATGAACAAGTATTCGACCTCCTCTTGCCAAGACTGCGTCCTCAGTTCTTCAAGAGACCCAGCCTGATGAGGAAGGCTGCAAGCGAACAACTCGTCAAAAAGACTCTGCGCCTAAAAAAACCTTGCATGCCCAAGGAAAACGGTAGAAGAAAAAAGCGGCGGCTACGCCCTGCTGTCCTCGCCTACTGCGGCCCATAGCATCCTAACTGCAGGACAGACATTATAAAAAACAGACGCACGCACACATCCATCAGCCAGTTGTGCTAGACTAGCGAAGGAGCTAGCAGCAGCTTGACATCTGCGAAGAAGCGAATGATGTTCTCGAAAGGACTGTCGCCTTGGAAGCGGAGGGATGCGTGGGCCAAAGGTCTGACTTTGAGGCCTGAAGCGTGCAGCATTTGACCCACTGAACACAGCTTGATCCCTTGCCATGCAAGCATGCCAATACAACTACATTGCATCTGGGACACGGCACTCCAACACCTGGCTTTTAGGCTGGGGAGTTCCACTTCATCAGGCTATCTAAGCTGAAGCTTCTGTTTGAGCAGTCCTTGCTTTCAGGTTCGGGGTTCGATGGTGCAGGATTGACGATGTTCTACAATCAGTCAACAACCTGTCAAGTTCTAGCCTGTCTTCCAAGTTCCTCACTGACGTCAAACCACCTGTTTTTTTTGCGGCAGTACCAGAAAGCTGAAGCACAAGCGCTCCTGCTGCAGATCAAATGGCGCACCTCGTAGTGGATGAACTCCGGATACTTTGGACATATGATTCCTGGGCATTCTGAGCCAATTGCAGGCAACACCTTACACTTCGTGCCAGTTTCTGTCGTTTAGTGGGAGCAGACTTCATTGAGCCATGAGGTTCACACGATCATGACACAAAGACCTGCTTCGAACAACAGTAAAGCGCAGAGCTAGACGACGTTGAAGAAACTGGTGATGCGCAGATGCCAAAGGTTGAATGATGATTTAGAGCTTCGGGGTGGAGGGTTGGTGTCTGCAGTGCAGCCATAGGTCGGGCTTCCTCTGGCGCTCGGACGACCAAAGCATCCGTGATGTTCACACGTTTCAGGAACTCCTGACCCCGTATCAGTCTGGCGTGCGGAATTGCAAGGACTGCTGACTGCCAACATGGTTACTTGAGCAATTGCTGAGTTTTGAAATTCCTTCTCGAAACTGTAGGTTAGTATCTGTTGTGTGTTCGTCCATGGCCCTGAGGCGCACCTGATCTCGAGCGGAACCAAAAGGTCCGAGCCAAAGTCCAGGAATAATCTCCTGTGCCTCTCGCCTGGGAGAAGGGACATGGCACTTTCAGGAGCGCGGCCAGTCGCACGGGCAACACTAAGGGTGGTCCAGGGAGGTAATGGCTCTAGCGCCATCTGCCATAGTGCTGCCATCGCGCATGAAGCTTAGGCATCAGATGCAGGAGACAAAGACAGCAAATTCAATACGAATGCGATTTGTAGCTAGAGGGGTTGCTCGTTCCTGCCGCCGCAGGCGTGGAATGTCAATCGCATAGACGGAAGGTCAAGCAGTAACGGAAGAGTCCTATTCGCAGCTGCAGCAGCAAGACCCTTCAGCTGCAGTTTGAGCAGTAGTCGAAGCAGCAGCAGAAGCAAGAACGAGAGGAAGAAGAGTAATAATAATCGTGATAATAAAATTTTGTGCTAATGTCAGTGCTACTACTAGTCGTCGTCGCCGCCACCGTCACCACCCACCACCCACCATGTCCATCACCATCACCATCACCACCACCACCACCACCACCACCACCACCACCACCTCGACTATTCGCGCCCGCCTTTTCCAGTCGCAGCTTATAGGCCGCCTAGAGTCGCCCTCCTCCTCATCGTCACAAATAATGAGCAGTGTTTCTGGTTTTTCTTTTCGCCTTCTCTGATGGTATTCCTTCCAAAAATGTCCCAGTCGTCGTAGCCAAGCACAGCAGCACGGACGAGGAGGAACACTACGATGTGGAGGAGAGGTGGGTAGAAAAGCAGGAGGAGGAAGGAGGAGGAGGAGGACGAGGACGCGGACATAGACGAGGACGACGATATCGGCGACGACGACGACGGCGGCGGCGGCGGCGATGACTTCCACAGCAGCCACTGCCGCCGCCCCCGCCACAACATCAACAACCATAACAACAGCAGCGGCAGCAGCAGACGCAGCAGCATCTACTGTTAGTGCTGCTAGTGCTACTGCCAGCGCAGCCGCTAGTGCTGCTACTGTTGCTGCTTGCTGGTGCTGCTGCTGGTGCTGCTGCTGGTGCTGCTGCTGGTGCTGCCTGGCAGAGCTGATTGCTGGGGCTGCAGCTAGTGCTGCCTCTAAGTGCAGCTGCTAGTGCTGACGCTGGCTGTGGGACCGGTGCCGCCAGAATCCAACATCAATCTAAGAGAACATTTGCGGATATGTAGCCTGTACAGACATGTAGTGAGGTGCGCGCAAGCCCTAATGAGTTCTCATAAGAGCCCCAGCTTCCACTCGGTTGTCCTGCAGGGGGCCGCGGCTTCCACCGTTTGGCGCAGGCGAGAGTGAGGTCTAGGCTTTTTCTTGATGACGAAGTCGCTGCCTGATCCGCAGTACCTTGCGTTCTGCAAGTTCTGGTGTTTTTGGTATACTCAGGCTGCGCAAGACGTACACTGTAGTATGAACTGCGCTGATATCCTGAGTCTTACAATGCTGTTTAGGCTGAGGGGGTGGACATCAGTTATCGTTCTGACTCCCCGGGAGCTGCTGAGCCTGTTGCCCACTTAGGTTAGGTTCTGGAGTTCACAGTCTAGTCTAGAGTTTTGCTTCTTGGTTGTCACTTAAGCTAGTCGAAGGCTGAAAGTCACCGTCCTCTCGGAATTAACAGAATCAGCTTCTGTGCAAAACCACCAAAAGAGTCTTTCCAAAGACTGTCACTCCAAAGGCGATGTTGACTTGAATGACAGGCATCAGCGAGGTCTGGCCGGCCGGCGTGCAGCAGAAGGCAGTTCTTCATTGGATGCGTTTTACACATGTTTACATGTTTTGTGGTCCTGGGAACGGATGCTGCCAGGGAAGGGCGACGGGCAAGGTCGACTTTTGCTTCTAGGTGTGTGTTTTACTTTGATCCCTCCGTACTGCACGCATGCAAAGTGTGCAAGAATCTACCTGGCCATCGATTCCCGTAAAGCTAGCTGCAGACGCACTCGTAGAGCGCACAAGCTGTGTCACACATGGCCTGTACCAGTCAAGGCTGATGTCTGTGTGTTGAGTGCAACGCAAGTATTCGGATTGAAATTCTGGAAGCTAGTAGAAAAGCGTGCAAACATTTGCAAGATCTTAATCGAAAGCGCAGGTGCGTCTGCGAAAGGCTACGATGTGGTCGTAATAGGACGCAGACCTGCCCGACTGTTGTGTCTTGTGAGTTCAGAGCCTTGATGAAGATTTCACCCAGCAGCCATGGCAATGGCAACTGATGGTGATTCAAGTGGTGCAGTCGTATCAGTCGTCACGTTGGAGCTACCGCCATGCACAACAAAAAACAAGATGTTCGAACGGGCTTGGCACCATCGGGCACCGAATGTTGTAAGGCCAACATGTTAACTACCATCCACCAGTGAACCCACCATGTTGAGAAACACCTGCATGGCTTGCAAGCGTTGTGATGGCCCCTTGAAGCAGTGCCTGCGACTCTCATATAAGTGGTGTCAATATTGCTTTTACAATTATGTTTAGAGGCTTGCTGTATGACTTGAAGCCAGAACATGAAAGCATACGGACGCTCAAAGTAATGATTCGACAATATGGAGGACCAACACTGTACAACGAATCAGAACATTACAGTATGCAATTAAAAGAGGTAGTATGATTCATATCCGCATGAAGGTACATTTTTTGATTTCCCATGACCAGTACAAGAGGCCTTTACGTACTCAGTATGTTCGCTATGTTTCGAGACATTGCCGCGCAGCCTAAGTCAAGACCTAGACTAGCACAAACAAGCCCGTTTGACAGCGACTCAACCTCGCATGCGTAATCCCTATGGAGGCACATGGTGCTACCCATATGATTGAGGTATCTGACGTTTGAAGCCCCGCAATGGATCCTAATTGAATTGCCGCCAGGCAGCTTTATTCATACGCCAACCTTAAATCTCCTGAAGCCGTACTACCATCCCACAAAACACGCCGGTGCAACCTCACTCAGCCCCTACGGACCTCCGAGCTTTGCCACTTACCGGAAGCTGCAAAGCCGTCAACAACTTTGCTGAGATCGTCAACGTGCGACATCCTAACAGGTCCAAGTCTAAGGACTTTGAACATTGAATCTATTCAGGATGTGTCCAAGCAATGCCTGCTCCAATTCAAGTCTAATTATATATAAGCAGTACCTGGCTTGGGCGACTAGGAGTCCCAGGCTTCAATGGGTTTAGGGGATTATACAGGGGAGCTTTTTGGGGGGTAATCCAGGGGGATACCAGCGCAAAGCCTCGCTGCCACCATTTTTTTGGATTGCTGTTAAGGAACTTGAATTAAGTTACCCCAATGGATATATATATATATAGTAGTTAATATCATGTCCGCATGATAGTAACCTAACATAAAATTCCTTAACAGCAATCCCGTTTTTTCTAGATGTCTGGAATTATAGTATCTCTAAAACCCATCTAATCCTTATATAATCTTTTCATCCCTTTATAATCCCCGTAAACCCTAAACCTGACAAAGGGGCCTCCAAACTTGCGCGGCTACAGAGGAGCTGGACTGGGCGGCCTGGCATGCGCTGCAGCGTTGGGCCAGGAGAGATGCCAAGCCTCCACGGCATATCCTTGCCTTAAGGGTTCTAGGGTTCTAGGGTTTAAGGATTTTAGGGTTCTAGGGCTTTAGGGTTTAGGGTTTTAGGGTTCTAGGGTTTAGGGTTTGAGGGTTTTAGGGTGTAGGGGCTTAGGGATTTTAGGGTTCGAGGGTTCGAGGGTTTTAGGGTTTGAGGGTTTTAGGGTTTGAGGGTTTGACGGTTTTAGGGTTTGAGGGTTATAGGGTTTGAGGGTTTCAGGGTTTCAGGGTTTGAGGGT